GTCCTTAGCTCAAGAGGACCCTTTTTAATGAGCTCTCTTGGTGCCTTGCAAGCCCCAAGGAGGAGGAGAGAGGTCTTCCCATGTCGCACAGGGTTTCGACTGCTCTTCCTATCATAACATACCCCGGATAGGTGCTGGGGATCTTGTTTGGCAAAATCCTTGTGATGCTTCAGTTATCTGGAGCAGAAAATGACCCAAGGGAATCGGCGTAATAATGGTTTCTCAGGACTGAGGTCAAAAAGTTGACTTCCACCTCAAAAATGGGTGATGGTGAGTAGCTTGCATGGTGTTGGGAGTTCTTTGGACTTGGTGGTGTTTTGCATAAAGGTATTTGTTTGTGGCTTTTGTTCAAGGAAGGTGTTGGGAGAAATCACTTTGCATCATCCCCAAAGTGCTGGGCGGATGCAGTCAGATGCCAGAAGCCCATCTGCTCCTTCAAAGCTTGATTCTTCCTTAGACTTGGATTTCAAACAGGAGTTCAGACTTTATTCCTTAAATGACTATTTGTGGATCGTGGTATTAAAATGTTTATAGCTTTTGCCTGGCTGCTGACACGAGGCTCTTTTCCATGGAGAGAACCAAGGCTGATAGCAGGCTGCGCTGCTGGAGATGGCATGCTCCTGGTTTGCTTGCTCAGTATTTTCTACAAAGTGCTGCCTGTGCAGCAAGGTGGTTTCTGCAGCCGTGGTTGAAACATCTCCTCTGCAAAATGCATACGTATGGCAGGGGCCAGCAGATCCCACCTATGTTTGTACCTCTTGCCTGTACCTAATGGGAATCTCTGCTGGGTAGGAAACAGCTTTTTTTTCAACTTTGCTTTGTGGCTGGCAGAGTTGGTTTAGGTGGGAGGGGAACGGGGACCCAATGAATTAAACCAAGTTCTGACAGCAATCTTCCAACACTTGCGTAGCAAATGTTTTATATCTCGTTATGCCCAAGTCCTGTTGATTTTCTGCCAAAAGGTAAGCATGGGTGTCCTTACCAGCCAATGCCACCAAATGAAGGAGATCAGGAGCTTTCCTACCACATGCCAATGCTGGCATGAGGGAGATGGCGAGAGCATTGTGGGGAGGGAAAGACAGACTGGGACACACAACCCCTTTAATCCATCCCAAGCTGTGGTTTGTGATTGCACCCAAAGGCTTTTGTTTCAGGAAAAGCTTTTTGTTATCAAAATTAATCCTGTCCTTTCCCTCAGCTGCTCAGGTTTGGTTCAACACCTCCCTTGAGCCAGCTTGTGCTGCTGTGGGTCGAGGGAAGCCCACTCAAGTCCAATCCGATCCTTGTTACACTAATGCATCAGCTGTGTCTGGTGGAAGGAGACGAGCGCTTCCTGCACCCCTTTTGGGGCAATTCCATCTGATTTTTCTTGCAACTTGAAATTAGAAGCAGGACATGGTTGATCTGTGCTTCCCCCACCTGTGTTGCTCTGCAAAAGTGTCCAGCTCAGTGTTTCTTACAGATCTCTGGTGGCCTTGGGGGAACGGGCACTTCCATACCCATTGCCCACGGGGGAAAGAAAGGCAGAAGAAACTACATGGCTTCCCAGAGTTGCAGGAACAGTGCTCAGAATTCCTCCTTTTAGTCACCACCACCCCACCCTTCTCCCTCAAAGGGACAAAACCCTCTTCCAGTTCCCCCTCCCTCCATTCAGTTGAAGGTTTTACTACAGCAAATGCAGATAAGGCAGGTAGCTACAAACTTTGGTCTCTGCATTATCCATTACAGACCAATGTGTGAGTTTTTCTTGATGAGCTAAAGCAGCAGGTAGATTAACACCCAGTCCTGGAGCCATGCCTGTTCCTGCCGAGACCATCTTGGGCACAAACAAAAGGGTTTCTTGCAGCCCTGAGCACCCAGCGGGATGAGGATCCTTACCAAATGGCTTTCTAAAAAGATTTGAAAGCAGGTAGGAAACACACAGGTTTTTAAAGCATCTCCTTAATGCAAGCATCCTTAGGAGCTGTTTTAAGGAAAACGTACGTATATTTAGTCATCCAAAACTTTATACATGCTTTTATTCAACTCATCTAATCTTTGACGGGGCTGGGGGGAGGAACTGCGAAAGGCCTTTTTCCTGGCGTGGTCGCTGTTTGCAGAGTTGGGTTTGCATGTTTGCAAGCAGATCTTAGTCTTCAGCTGAAACTTGTTCCAGAAAAGACAACTGTCTTGGGGGAAGGGAGCCTGGGCTCAGCACAGGATTTAGCAGCCTCGGTTTGCTGGTCCCAGAACCGATAAAGCTCCTTCTTCCCATCTTTTTAACATTCCCTTTTCAAAGCACGGTGGAAACATCAAACCTCACCGCGGCTTTGTGCATTGCATTGGCCCTCATTGCGAGTGGAGAAAACAGAGGCTACGCAATATTGCTCGAGGTTACAGACGGAGGGTGGCTGAGCCAGGATTAGATTTTGGGGCTGCTTCCCAGGCAAATGGTTCATTAAACCTTCCTGCTTTCTGGGAGGTGGGTTTGGAGAGGGAGGGGAAATTCCCATCTAGAGCAAAAGCAGGATCGCCCTCCCCGCACACAAGACAATGCTCCTTCGCTGTCCTGCTGATTTAACCAGTATTTAGCAAAAACGCTTAATCTGCCCTAACAAAGTGTGGTGTAACTATCAAGAGAACAAATATCAAGGCTTCAACAAGGAGTGTCAATATTGACACTGTTCTGTGTTGAAGGGGTATTGGTAGGTTGTTTTTATTATAGTAAGCAACTTGTCAGAGGAAAACTCAGATGAAGCTTTGCAAGTGCCGATAAAAGCTGCAGGTGCTATTGAAACTGAGCTCTTGTTCGTGTGTGCTTGGAATATAATTTCCAGTTTCAGAAGTCAGCTTTATGACTTTCCCATACACCTCCTTTCAGTCTCTCCCATGGTGCAGATTAAACATTCTTCCCCAAAAAAGAGTTATTGAAGGATTGAACACCTCTTCAACTTGCAAAAACATCTTCCTACTCTGATGAGTTTGCTCCATACCGTGAAAATTACCCATCGCTGTGTCCAGCTGTCAGTATCAGGAGCATGTTGGACACATCACCCATAGCTTGAGCAGAAACTCTGGTTTCTCCTGCAACCTTCTTGCAGTTCTGCTTCTGCTCCATACCAGGTCATCTGCACTCCTTACTGGATGCCTGTTGGCAGCAGAAGGTTGATTCCCTCCAGCAGATCAGGCTACACTCAATAGCTCGAATGCAATCTGCAGCTCAAGCGCCATCTCTAAAGTGCTCTCCATGCACTGCAAAGCGGGAGGTGAATCCTGCCACCAGGTAACAGCTTGGAAACTTGGTAGCTTGAGGAGTTGCAGGCTGTGGAAAGGCAGGTCAGGCTTCTCCTGGCATCCTGCTCACTTGGGACAAGTGATTTAATCTTGGCATGTTGGATCTTCAGTTGGGAGTAATACTCCCTTCTCTGGCTGGGTGCTGTGTGGGTACTTACATCAGTAGTGGATGGGTGTTCAGGTATGGAAATGATGAAGCTACAGAAAGTATCCTTGGCCTGGAGCTGGTGCCTGTGCCCAGACTGGGTGTTTTCTCTGCTGGCTGTAAGCCACTTGCTGCTCAGTGTCTTAGGAAGACTGAATTGCATCACCTTGTAGAGACCATTCAGAAGTGGCTGGTTTGCCGTGTTGAGTGGGAATCACAGGCTGGGTTGCATTTAAATTGTCCAGCCATGGCCCCATCTGCCTTAATCTCAACATTAAAGATTGCACGGCCTTTGGAGAAGATGGAGACTTGAAAGCACTGCAAAATTTTCCAGACAGAAACTTCTGCGTTTTGCAAAGATCTGGCTATTCTGGGAACGCAGCACTTTAATTTCACTATCCTGCGGGGGACATTCATGTTTTCTACCCAGTTGTCAACACATTTTATTGAGATACCTACATTTTCCATGATTGTAATCCGTCAAAATAACGGCCAGGTGTGACCTTGCTTTAGGTTGGGTAATCCCAAAGAGAGATGGCTGCAGGGCATCTCAGGATTTACAAAATCGCGAGCTTCATGGTATATTTTCTGGGTGTCTGCTTACATGTCGTGTGTTTGTTTCATTCTTCGCATTTTAAACTAATCCTCAAAATGTCACAAAGCAGAATATTTCCAAATGAAGAGAGGATTTCTAAGGCTTAGGAAAAAAACAGGTCACCTGCAGATATCAATGTTCCCTTATTTGACTCTTGTTTTTAATGGATGTGTCTGTAAATCATGTTTCGGTTCTGTGCCATGGTGGCCATGTGGGAATTGTTTCACCTGGGGCCTTAGAAACTCCTCGGTCCTTTGCTACAAGGTTCTAATGGGGCAAAGACCCACAGGCTATGGAGACTCCTTGGTTTGCGGTGGCCAAATGTCCGTTTGGAGTGGCCAGAGTTGTTCAGGGAATGGAGTTGCTTTTTGCTGAAGATCTTGCTTGGGTGGAGAGGTGATGTGAACCGTGGCAACCGCAGCTAATCCAGACTTATCCAAATAAGCCTGAACTGGGATCTAAGTGAGGAGTAGGCACTGGTCTGTCCCTCCTCTGCGGGATGAATATTACCTATTCTCAGTTCCATCCTACCCATATAAGGAAACCATTTATTTTTAGGTGGTGTTTCCCAAAGTAGTGGTGGGGAGGGTCACACGCTCCGTTGTCAGACATCCAGCAAACGGCAAGTAGCACCCCAGGATGTCACCTTTCCTAAACAGGGTTTCTGTGGTTAGAAAATACTGTTTATGGTCTGCCTTGCACATCGCCCTGTTAGTGTCCTGTGGCTGAAGCACTGGTCAGAGGAGACTGGGGGGCTCTCAGCTGGGCTCTTGACTTCCATGAGCTCCTGTTGTGACCCTAGGCAAACCTGACTTCTCTGTTCCCACACCAGCAAAAGAGAATAACCCTCCTCACCATGCTGAAGCTGCTTGCCTCCCAGGGATGCAAATGTATGCATCACCTAAAGCAAAGCCATGTGGGGATGTGTCTCCTGGGACGTGTTTCTGATTTTGCCTGAACGTACTTGGGGTTTGAATTTTGCTTCAGGACCAGGCCATGGGGAGGCTGAGACAAGGGAATGCATTTACTACAACGCCAACTGGGAGTTGGAGAAGACCAACCAGAGCGGCGTGGAGCGCTGCGAGGGGGAGAAGGACAAGCGGCTCCACTGCTATGCCTCCTGGAGAAACAACTCAGGCTCCATCGAACTGGTGAAGAAAGGCTGCTGGTTAGATGACTTCAACTGTTATGACAGGTAATAGCCTAACTGTTTTTTTGAATACGGGTTTAATTGTTCCTCTAAGTGCAAAGGCTCACGATTTTTGCATCGAGGAAAAGAAAGCATGTCCAAGTCAACTGGCCCATTCATCCCCTGTAATTACTTCTGTTGCTAATGCAGCTCTTAGAATTGTCACTTACCTGCCTTGACTTTCTAAACAGAAGCTGCAAAAGGCACTTTTAGATTTTTTTTTTTGTTGTTTTTTGTTTTTTGTTTCCTTAGCAAAGCTTTGATAATTCTGGCATGTGTTGAAAAACGTGTCCTGTACCATCAAATAAAGAGCAATATGTTCTTCCAAGAGCATTTGGTGATACAAAGGAAAACTTGGAATTATTTGGAGCTCTCTAGAAAAGCACAGATATCTGGGGGTGTTTAGATGTTGAGATATTCTGGCGTTTGTGATACTGCAAAAAGTTTCACTGTTCTTTGACTGAGTTAAGAGATGGGCCAGGAGAAAGAGTGGGACAGCAAAAGCAATACGTGTGTTTGTGTGTCACTGCCTGTAGCGAGCTGAAAGGGAGTGAGGTTATGTAGTATGAAGGCTCCAGCCTCGTTCAATAGCTGGGAAAATAAACTAGCCTTTTCTCATTTCCCTTGATGCAGTTCTACAGAAGGGAAAAGAATTACAGCTAAAGAAAATATCCCTCTGAAGTTTCAGTTTAAAAGAACAATGTTCAGTAGCTCTAGACTCAGTGTTTCTCTTAAAAAAACCCCAATGACCAACCAACCAACCCAAACCCAACCTTTTCAATAAGGATTAACAGAACATGAAATTCAAGGATTTCCTGTGATTATAACACCAGTGTAGGCTGATCTCACCTTTGTGCAATTCCCAGCTGTGCATCTTTGTAGCTTCTCATTCCAAAAGTTTTAGGACATCGGGTCCTAAGCTGCAGGGCTTAAGCTGGGACTAGATTTGTCCCATGACTGGAGAGTTTTCTCCCTTTGGTGCTGTACAGTTCCCCTGCTTTTATGCCCATTGTTTTAGCTTATCTCAACTGTGAGTCGTTCCTCATCTTCCTTCTATTATTAGCACTGGGGTTACTTTCCCACCACACCTATTCCCTTGTCAGTTGCGTAGCCAAGCCTTATATATAGTTAAATTTTTATTCTTTCCCAATAAATCAATCCCCCTTGGCCCATTAGTCATCTTAATGCTGATCCTTCTGAGAATAGAAGGTCACTCTAGTTTCCTACTTCTAAGCAGAAGTGTTTACTGTAAACAGATTTCTCCTTTCAGTGCCTGCTCTTGTATACAGTGACACTTGTATTGTCACTGAGTGTTTCTGTGCAGGGATGTAGTGGTTCTTAAACTTTGTCATAATGTGTTGCTCTGTTACAACAGTAAAAAGTTTCCAGGGCTCCTCACAAGTCTTTTTGCAGCCCCAGGGTTGAGCATTCATTATCCTGCAGCCTGATTCTTCAAAGCCACAGTTCCAGGGCAAAGCTAAAAGATGTTCTGAGAATTAACAAACAGTACAAGTGTTGAAAGCAACATTTGAAATAAAGGTTAGCTTTAATTAAATAAAGGCTGTTTAAATGGAGTCTCCTCTCCTCTCCTCTCCTCTCCTCTCCTCTCCTCTCCTCTCCGCCCTCGCCCTCGCCCTCGCCCTCGCCCTCTTCTTCCTCCCTTCCTTTCCTTCCTTGAGTGCCCTCATCAGTCTTTCATGCAGGTAGTGTTGCATCCCAAGATGGCAAAAATGGCTACAAAGATGATTTTTTGATCAACAGTGCTGTGCTGATGCCCTTTCTGTCTCTGTCTTCAGCACCTTTGGGTGCTGAGCTCCTGGGTGCAGCCTCGGGAGATGCACCTGTATTTGTGTCCTTATGTGTCACCTGGATGCAGGGCACGGTCCTGCTCCGCCAGGCTGCAGCTCCTCTTGGAGCACAGGCAGCACGTGCTGGTCCATGCCAAGCGCTGTCTCCTTGTCACTGGAAGGTGAAAAATTCAGGAGCGCAAGTGTTGGGGTGTTGAGGATGACGGCTCCTTACTCTGTGCACTTCTCGTTTATTGACCCAGCCCCACCGGAGGGGTCGTGTTCATGTTCCCTTGAAGAGCACGTGAACCTCTACGAAATGAGCTCTTGCTGCCATAGAAAAATGTGTCATTCTCTCCCACTGTCTCATTTGTAATATTTGCTAAGTATAACATGTCGTATGTACCTGGATGGCTGCCCTGAGCGCACACCAACTCAAAGACAGGGGTAATGAATTGCAGATGTGCAGCAGGCTGTTTTCACTCATTAGCTTGATTTCTTAACCAACAGATTTAGCAAAGGATGTGTTTTCTATTGAAGACTCCAATACTGATGCTGTTAAATCCAAACGACTTGTTATCTGATTTCATGAAAAAGCATCTGGAAACATTGCTTAACTAGTTGAAACATCTTTGTTCATTTGAATAAGTCAAATAGCTGCTTTTTTTCTTTGAAGTTTAAAAAAATAAAAGCCTGAAAAACAAACCAAGTGCTTCCCAGCTGAGACCTTGCATGAGACATTTCGGCTAAAGCTGCTTTTTTTTTTTCTCCAAAAGGAATAAAGCAGCAAAACCTACCCTGCGTTATGATGGAAGAGAGCCCTTTCTGTTCTCCTCATGGCAGTATGTCAGTGATACCACAGAAAGGGAGGCTTGGCATGGGTTCATAAATGAGTAATAAAGTCAAACACATATGATTGTTCTGCTACTTCCTCCGAGTGGTCGAAGGAAGGAAGTTATGCATATAATTTAGCTGGGCTTCAGGAAATAGTCTGATACAGTTCTTTGCGGAGAGCAGTTCTGCAACCTTAATAACTAAAAGCAGAGGGTAGCGTAGCAAAAGGTGGCAGGGAAGGGAAGCAGGCATTTAAGAGAGAGAAAGAAATGACGGCTAGAGCAGTGCAAAAAACACTGCACGTCTCTTTTGGCATTGATCTGTGGGAGAGGGAGGATGTGTGGAAGAGGAGCTGGTCTGATCCGTGGAAGTCCCCTAACGCCTTGCACAGTGTGGAAGGAAACCTCAGTGCTGAGAAGGCTGTAATGCTACCTGGATAACAAATACAAAATGTGAGAGCTGCAGCCTGATTTTCCTAAAGGTTTTTGTGCAGGAGTAAGTTTTTTAAAGGAGAAGGAGGTGGTGTTTGAAAATTAAACTTAAAAAAAAAAAACCCTAAATGTGCAGCCTCCCTCCTGCCTGCAGCGGGAGTCCTGTTGCTGCTGGTGTCTGGTACCCTTCTAGTGCGTATAGCGGTGCTTGAGGCTGTGAGAGCACTCGTAGCTCAGCCCTCATCATACGTGCTTTATGGCACAGTCTTTAATTGCATGACCAAATACTCCTCTCCCCTGACAGCATACGTATGGGCTGCGGGAAGGGCCCTGTTCAGGGAAGGAGGCATCTCTCCATCGTGTTTTCTGCTTCTCAGCTAGTGGCGGCGGCTGTTATTTATTACTCGCCATCTAATGCCGTCAGTACATATGGAAGCATTTGTTTCCTTTATGGTCTTTTCAAGGGTCTTTGCTAACCACTGGGGTATTTGAGTGCCAAGTTGTTTTCTGTGAGTGGAGACTGCCGATCTGTGCAGTGCAGCAGCAGGAGAAGGCGCGTGGAGGAGACAGGTCGGGGCAGGTCAGCTCCCAAAGAAAAGAGGCAGGAGTTGGCTGACGTTGTTTTTTCTCTTCTCTTTGTTGCCATGTCTGTCCCACCCCGATGCAGGCAGGAGTGCGTAGCCACAGAAGAAAACCCTCAAGTGTTTTTCTGCTGCTGCGAGGGCAACTATTGCAATGAGAAATTTACCCATTTGCCTGAAGTCACCGGCCCAGAAGGTGAGTGACTGGGTGGATGAGGAGTTGGGGTCTCTTTCTCTAGACCCAGTTTGTGATGACTTTGAGTTGTTGGGTGTTGAGCAAAAAAATACATCTGACAGGACAGAAAGTACCATTTTCGTTACAGAGTCCAGAAATTCTTCTGCTGTGGTTCTTTAAGAGCAGTTTTTTAAGGTTGTTTCACTCTGTGGGTAAAGTGTGTTGCACCAACACCTCGGATACCATCAGTAAGGATTAGGTTTTCTTTATGGTGGAGGTTCATGGTGGGATATTACAAAACGAAATCCCGCACAAAGGGAAGAGGGCAGAGTGATTTATACAGCATGGATCAAGACTCAAACTCTTAAAAGGTATTTGACACCTTCTTCATTAATTTTCATAGGTCACAGGTCTCCAAATGCCTTGTGCATCTGGGATTTTTGCATTTGATTGTTAATTTGTTGGTCTGGGGATTGAAAGGGAATGGGTGTCTGTGTCAGCTTTCAGAGCTTGTAGATACACTTCAAGGAAGAAAAGTAATAGCAGGTCCTTCTTCAGAGGCTAATAGGAAAAGGAAGATTCTTTTAGCTGTAAGGCTTACTAAAGTACCATTCAATAAAAATTATTAAAGCAGGTGGATCTTTTCCTTAGGATGGTTTCTTTTGCTGTCAACTACCTGCATTTACTGACATGTTCCAGCGGACCATTATCAGATTTTCCTGGGCTTTCCTGTTTGCTTTTTAATTGTTTACGTGGGTTTTATTATCTCCTGTTATTAATGTACCCGTAGCAACCTAGTAGCAAATATTCTTTCTCTCGCAGTTTTTTGTTTAATTTGGCAAGTCTTGCTATTTTTTCCTTCCCTGTCTCCAACACAGCAACGTGGCTCCATTTAGTATTCCCATTGTTTGTGTCTCAACTGCACTGATGTAATTTGGAACAAGCACTACTGTGGGAATAGTGCATTTGATTGTGGCTCCGGCAGCATTTTACTAAAAACTGACATCTTGTCAATCACTGTATAAGGCAAAGCAACGCTGCAAGGGATTTCGTGCTCGCTTAATACATTTGGAATGTTAAGAGGAGGAAATTTTCTGCTTTTACATATCCCAGCAAGAAATGCCCATCTTGAATAAAGGTCAGATACAGGCTCGGCTTGCAAAGTGTGGTTTGGACTGTTGTAACGGTAATAGCCGTATGGAAAAGAGTAAACCATGGAGCCTCGAGAATACTGTTGGATGTGATGGGACATGCTACTAAGCACTGTCAATTTTGGAGTAGAAGGGAGAACGGGGCTTGGTTGCATCTGGACGGGTAGCTGACAGTGCTGTTGCATGCCTGCAGGGTCCTTTCCCTCGTTTACCCTGCTCTTTTTCCGCAGTCATATATGAGCCGCCACCACCAACACCCTCCCTGCTCAACATCTTGGTGTACTCGCTGCTCCCCATCGCTGTCCTCTCCATGGCCATCCTCCTGGCCTTCTGGATGTATCGTCACCGCAAGCCTCCCTATGGGCACGTCGACATCAATGAGGTGAGGGAGAAACCACAGCTTTCCCAAGTTGTTCCCCTGTATTTGAACCTTACAAAAGGCTGCTCAGTATATGTTCACGTCCACTTTTGCTTCACTCTTTTCAGGTGGCCCAACTTGTCTTCTCTGTCTTTTTGAAGTTGGCAATACAGTTGTCCTCTGTTGCAGTATTAGCATCCCCTGAGAGGCTGATGGGTTTAGACAGGGATGTGCAAGATTCCTAAGGGATGGAGTTACACAGCCCAGCTTGGTGGCTGTCCTTCCCCACAAACACTCAAGCCCCTTGCCTGATTTCAGCCAGCTTTGCAGAGGAGCAGAGATCAGAGAGATGATAAAGTTCCTACTAGCTTTATGGAGTGAGGGGAGATAGGTTCCCTGTCGAAGCTCTTGTTTTTACAAGCCATCAGAGAAGGTGTGCAGAAGGTCATCCTCACGGCCCAAAGCCATTGGGAACTGGTCCTTGCTGGGTCTGCTGTGCCTTCAGGTTTCTTCCGAAGGGGTGAGCAGCTACCTCTCCCTCCCTCCTCTGCCAGTTACAGCCCATACTGCAAACCTTTCCCATCTGAAAGCAGATAGGACAGAGCTCCAATCCCATGCGTTCTGCAGGATTGCCTTGTTCTCCTGGACAAACGCAGAGTTTAAACAGATACGATCTTTATGGTGCTGACAGACCTGTTTACTGCCCCATCGCTGGGTTATGTGAAACACGCCTAACGAAGTGCAAAGCAGTGGGAGGTTTTAGGTGTAGTTTGCTGTTGGGTCACAAAGATCAAAATGTTCCTACTTTTGGAGGAGGAGGTAGCCTTGAGGTCATCGGTGTCTTACAGCCCAAAATAGCTCTTGCTTTGAAAGCATAGGAGAACACAGGTTTTGCCAGAGGATGCCAGGCAATAGTTCGACACAGAAAGTGACACATGGAGGCATAGATTGTTATATATGTTCTATACAAATGCCCTGCAAAGCAAGACAGGGAATTTTGGGCTGCTCTTGCTGCAAACAGTACATCTAAATAATTTGCATTAAATAAAATGTCACTTAGGCAGTCTCTCCATCGCTCCCCTCCCTTTGTTTTACAGTACAGCTTCAGCTTGTGACAACATTTTTCTCTCGTGCAGGACCCTGGCCCGCCACCCCCTTCTCCCCTGGTTGGCCTAAAGCCTCTGCAGCTCTTGGAGATCAAGGCAAGGGGACGCTTTGGCTGCGTGTGGAAGGCTCAGCTGATGAACGACTACGTAGCAGTGAAAATCTTCCCTATTCAGGTGAGAAGGGTCTTGCATTAGGTTCTCACTCATTGGGCTTCCTTACTGGTGCTGTGATGCTCTAAGTGCCTTTGGAGGTGTTTCTAAGACCTTAACAAAGATGCATTTGGACTCTTCTGCTGGGGGGAAGGAGTTCAAGGACCCTCCCTTCCTACGCTTCTCTCTGTGCTTCTCATTACCAAATGCTGCCCGTACGAGTAGTTGTTGCAAGAAGGGCAAAACCGAGCACATTTTGAAATCTCTGGGGTATTTTAACTTCACTGCGAGATGTCCGTGTTGTTAAAGTCCAGCGAGGCAGCGTGCAGCTGCAAGGCCCAAAGCGCCCACAAAGGACCAAAGCCCTGGCTTTGTGTGTCCTGCCTGGGTAGATTATAAATCCAGACCCGAACCCAGCAAACGGTTTACAGCTTACAGCAGCGCAGCCCCGGCATCGCGAAAGCTAATTGCACCGCAGCGTTTCTGTCAGCTCACGTCTTCTGCTTTAGGAAACCTTTGAACACTCCTGACGTGACTCTCTAGGAGTTGCAGATGGAAAGAGAAAAGCAATCAAAAGTCAAATGAAAGAAAAATGACTGAAACATCTTTGTGCTCCTCCGCTATCTCTTTCTTTGTTATTTTTTTGCCCCATATTTGTTGTCATAGCGTTGCTAAAGGAGATTTGCACACCTTCTCTCCAAGCCAGCTGTGACCTACTAGTAAATATTCAATAGAGCCTAGATTAGATTTTGCAATTGTAACAACTACAGCTACAATGCAGATCTGGGTGCTGTATGCACAGGCTTTATTCTTGCAGGCATCTTAGGAAATCTTGACAAATCGTATTTGTCAGTGAGGTTGGGTTTGGATTCCTCCCCCCACCCCATACACGTGTTTTAGGAATAGCTGAGGATAATTTTGGAGAAGGGAGACTGAGGACAGCAACTTCCAGTCTTTCTGCAGCATCTACCCTTTTGGAAAACAGACTAATTTTGAAGGGTTACATCACATCCAAACGCTGGAGGTTGATGTTAAGAGGAACGTGAGCAGTTCTGACTGAGCTGAAGGAGCTGTTTGCTTTAAAGGGAAGCGTGATCTTTGATGGTGCATTTCTCCCTGCTTTAGGATAAGCAATCTTGGCAGAGCGAGAGGGAGATTTTCAATACTCCTGGCATGAAGCATGAAAACCTTTTGCAATTTATCGCAGCAGAGAAAAGAGGGACAAACCTAGAGACAGAGCTCTGGCTGATCACAGCTTTCCACGACAAGGTAATGTATCATTGCGTGTACATTTTGGGAAGGCAGAGAGGCAGCTCGTTGTGAAGCAGCAGGATTTGGTGTCTAATGTTCCCCCAGAACCTCCCTGGTTATCTATCCAGCCTGTCCCTCATGAGCCATGGCTCAGTGGTAGTGGAAAACTGCTCCTGCTCCCCTGAAAGGCTCTTCCTTTAGCTTTCAAGGCTTTCCTACACAAACACAGGATTAATAAAAGTGGGACCTGGGGAGAGAGAGAGGCACAAAAGGCCACAACTCGCATATGTGGTGGTCACCATCTCTTAACGTGCATAGATGAGCATGTGGGAGCTGGGGGTCACAGACTATCGCAGTCCCAATTCACCCCTTGCAGATGGACTCCATGTTTGCTTTTGAAGCTTGGGGCACATCTCCTGTTTCATGGATTGCTTTAGTTATCAAACATGACTAACACTTAAAATAAAACAAACACACACAAATCCAGGGTTGAGCCAGCAGCGTTATCCCTCTGTATAATCCAAGGTCTACTGAGTCAATCATTGCCACAACCGGCTGATATGATGCATCATCTTCATGCATAGGAAGGCTTTCCTCTTTCTTCAGTTAGATGAATTGCTCTGTTTTGAGATTATTTTTGTCTCTTCCTTACCTCCCTCCCCTTCCCTGGCAGATTAGTAGGCTCCTTTTGGACATCCAGATACTTTCTGTGCTTTCAAGGGCTGAGGACTTGTGAACATTTCTGGGTTTTGTTTCTTCTTTTTTGCTTTCGCTAGTGATTTTTTTCCCCTTGTTAAATCAAAGTTCAAATTTCTCAAGCATTCATTAAAACCATTTCCTAAACTGATGAGTTGGCACATCTGTCACATAGCAGGGTCTGCGATTAAGAACATACGATGTCCTGTTTCACAGGGCTCTCTGACGGATTACCTGAAGGGCAATATTATCAGCTGGAATGAGCTCTGCCATGTCGCAGAAACAATGGCGCGTGGCTTGTCCTACCTTCATGAAGATGTCCCTTGGTGCAAAGGTGAAGGACACAAACCTGCTATAGCACACAGGTACGGCCTCTTTCGTTGATGCCATTCAAGTGCTGTGTTCAAATGTTCACAACTTCTTTGAAATTATGCTGTTGAATGGAGGAGGACATTGTGCTTTTAGGAAGTAAAATGCCTTTTAATCCAACAAATCCTATGCTAATACAAGAATTTTTTTCACCCACGTATGAAATGGCGAAGGGCAAGTAAGCACCTTGTCTGTGAAACAGTCAATATGGTTGGTGGTGGTTTATGGCAAATGTCTGAAGGCTAGGTGCTTCCCTCTTCCATCAACTCTTCTCCTGACGTGCAGTAGGAAGGGAAATCTGGTTGCTGTAATACTGCTCTTTGAAAAGATTGTGCTTGTTAAATCATATTATAATCCGTCTATTTCTATGGCCGTACCAAGATTTGGACCCTATTTTTCCCAAGTGTTTTAGATTGATAACTCCACTGCGTGTCTTCCACAGAGCTTTTGATCATTAGGTAAGAAACTGAGAAACAGTAGAAATGCAGAAAATGGCTGCTATTTATTTTCCACAGTGGTTTTGTAGTGCCAATATCATGCCAGGATGCTTACGAGAGACTCCAGAGGAGACCCCAGGGTGCCTCTGAGACCTCTTGGCACACGCTTCAACCCACCTGGGTGGCAGCCACGGGTTTTTTTTAGCAGGAATCCAGAAAGAAGTGGGTTAAACCATCCTCACTGCAACAATATTTGTTTTAGCCCTTCTCCACAGTCCCACATTTCTTGCCCTGGACTAACGCATCGCTACAGAGCAGTTGGCTAGTGGCACGGCAGGAGGGGGGAGTTTTCCAGAAGGGGTTTACGTGAGCTATACACCATAATCCGTGGCCGTACTCCCCCACCACACACCACATTTCATCTAGGAGGGACTTAAACCCCACGTCCAGCTGCAGCAATTTGTACCAGATCTAGCGGGGCTGTCTTCATGTACGGCAAGATAATCCCTGTTTTTGCAAGGGTGTCCCTGCCCCCAAAAACCCCCCTCCCCGAACCTGAAGGTTTCTGAGAGCTGGGGGCTGTTGAAAGAGCCTGCAGCTGCCTTTGTGCTGCTCCTGGAGCTGACCCCTGTGTCCCTGACATTTGTCCCTGTGGAATAAAGGCAGTGGTTTATACATGAAAATTCCTGAGGGTGGGGAACAGAGAAAGGCTATAGAAAGGCTTTAAAGCAACAGATCGTGCTCATTAGTGTCCCCATCCATTTAGCAAATGATAAAAGATGGAGAATGAACCATTTGTGTGAACTTAGCACATACCTATGGAAAAGGGATTTCGGGAGACAGGGGATTTCCTTTGGATTACCCCACTCCTTTTAGTTTCATGTTTTATTTTAAAAGAAAACACCGAATACATTTTAAATCGGGGGCTGGGGGTTATTTTTGAATGGCTTCACACAATGCCTGTGAAGATGCTGGAGCTGCCAGGTGGGACGTCGCTGCTGGGCAGGGGTTTGGCTGACTCCGTACTGGCCCCCACACGACAAGGAGGGTTAAGGTTATGGCATCGCTTGTCGGTGCGAAAGTGCCCCCACGTGGAAGCTGAAAATAAAATCTCCAGTGTCTGAATCGAGTTAACGCGCCCGTCGTTCATAGTCCGCTCACTCGCTTATTCTCTACTTTGAAGCGTTACACGGAAAAAGGTAGTTTCTTCTTTTCAGGCCACTTTCTTTTATCAGTGACCATTTTAGGATGGTCTAATGCATTCGGTGTTAGTGGGAATTCTACCTGGCATGCTTTGCATCAGGCCTTTCTCCCTGTCCTGGTGATGCTTGCATTGCAGCTCACTCTTGCCAGTTCCAGGTGGTTTGTGGAAGGAAAGAAAGCATGGAGAAATGGGGAACTGTATGGAAATAGAGGAAAAAAAGGAAGTGCAAAGGGAAATCCCTGCATCACCTATCAAGATGTAGTAGTGAACTGTTGCATGCCCAAAGGGCAGTGCAGGTGAACAACAAGCAGCAAACGCCTGTACAATAATCCTGGTTTACTTCTCACTTCACTTTGGAAACATATCGTTCAGGCAGACTGCCTAATGATTTCTCTGTGGTCCTTGCTGAGCCACTGTTTTGCAAAAATCTCGTGCACAATCTGTGCCATCCTGGAGGGCATAATCCCCTAATGCTGACCCGGCAAAGGAGTTTATCTATGTCATTAGATCATAGCTGTTTTCTAAGCCTGTGGGGAAACTGCTATAGCATGGAAGCAGTCAGTCTCTAAGATGACAGGTAAATGGTGTTTGTCTGTGTAACGGAGGGGTACAAATATTTTGCAGGCTCTGCAAAAATGTGCTGTGTCCCTAGAAACCCTGTGTGTCCCCTTGAGGTGATGGAGGCTGGGTTCTGCTGGGGTTCCCTGGCTGTATAATGCTCTCCAACTTCACACCCACATCCCCCGACTTGATCATCGAGCCAGAAATGCCCATCATGTTGTGTTTAGCTTAGAAAGGAAAAATCCTTTCTTCTGATTTTTTAGCCTCAGAATCAGGGCCTGGGTGGTACGGGATAATTTTTGCTCATGGTGCTTTGAGCTGGTGCTCTGGCATCTGAGGCTGCAGCGAGCCGCCCTTCTCTATGGTCCAGCAGTTTTTCTCTTCCCAAAGAATTTTGACAGGTCTCTCTAGTGCGGAACAATTGTATCTGCCCTCATTAATTATTTTGTGCAGGCCTGCAATGTCCTGCAATCAGCAGGGTCACCAAGTGAATTGATGATAGGGAAATTATAATGCTGAGCATACAGGACAATTGCCATCTGCTGTCTAAGGTCTGTAATTTAATTAGATTGCCAAACATTCCTTTTCAGATGAAAATGCAGGAAGCCCGGGGAACAGGGCTCAACTGGTTAGGCACCTCGGTGTGACCCTCCTCAACCCCCACCTTTCCAGCCCCTGCAGATTTACCTGAGCTGCCCTGAAACAATCCCGCTGCAGCACAGGACTGACACAAATGTCCCCTTAAAGCCACCTTTGAGCACAGACTCACCATCTCTACTGCAGCTGTTTACAGCTGCCTGGTCCAATCCTGACAGCTTGTCTGAGTGTGGGCTCACCCCCTCCCCTGCTTACTTTCCAACCCTCCGAATTCTCCGGGGTGAGATCAGTCCAGCAATTAAAGCATAAGTGTAATAGATGACTATGGCAAAAGTCCGTTGAAGTGTGTAGTCAGGGTGAACAGAATCCCTCCAGCATCTGCTAATTTCCAGGAAGAGCTATTTTTGTAGGTAGGAGCAAATATCCTTACCAGGATAAAGACTAAATTCACCCCTTTAACCCGTCTTGCACTTGTTCTTGGGAGTGAGAAATGTAAGAAGTGCCTGGGGGGGGTCCACAGCTGCTACTCAGAGCAAGAAATGGTGCCTTATAGTGCCTGCTGTAATTAAAACATCCCCTTCGTATCACTCCTTGCTTTTACTTTGAGGTTAATTCACTGCATGGTTTGGCTGACTGTGCTGGGCAGTGCAGGGCTGCTTGGTCGTGTTTTAGGGACACGGGCGGCGGGAGCAGCCCAGTTTGCTGGTGGTGGCTGTGCCAGGCAGCCAGGGAAGGAAGGAAGGAGCTGATTTACTGGGGGCTGCTGAGCCTATAGACTTACAACGTGGTGTGTTGCAATGTGATTTAGATGGGTTCCATAATAAACCTTTCCCAAACTTGCTTCTTGGCTTGTCCATAGGGACTTCAAGAGTAAAAATGTCTTGCTGAAGAATGACTTGACGGCAGTGCTAGCCGATTTCGGACTAGCTGTACGGTTTGAACCTGGAAAACCTCCAGGGGATACTCATGGACAGGTAATCATTATCTTTAACGATAACATTGTAAAAAGTTGGGCTTGCCATAGCTCCTTAGGAGTGGGGGGCATAGTTTGTATAGATGCATTTAATTCTCCTTGAGATATATATATTCCATAAAAGCTTGTGCTCAGACATAAGTTCCAGGAGCTGCTTTGATCTGGGTGAGCAGGGAGAGTGCTCGGTCCCTCCCGACCGCTCTGCAGGTGGAGTCCCCCTGGCCCTGGGGGCAGGCGGCTTCTTCCTTCAAACACGGGGCTTGCTGACTCTTTATTGTCGTGGTATTTAATATTAATACTCCTAAAATTATTCATTTATTTTTAAGAATTCAGCCAAGCTGGCTGCTTAGGTGACCTTTAGCAACAGCAGTTTTTGTGAGCCGGCTACATGCTGCGTAAACGATTTACTACATTTTTATGGGTTCTTAATTTTCTGCCTTTGCGTTGTGGTGAGTGGCCCCTCATTCTGCTCTCGTGCCGGTGCACAGCAAGGCTAGCATCCCCTCCATGTGCCTCGGGGGTTTTTTGAATGCCTGTCTCCAATGCAGGCTCTCTTTTTACCTCTATCTCAGGAGGAGTGAACACTTTTCTGGGTTAGACACACCCCCCCCCCCACCCTTCCAGGAGGAGTTAACCCTTTTCTGGGTTAGACCCCCCCCCCCCCCCAGCTTTCCTCATTTTTGCTCTTTTTTGGGGGGCTTTTCTGGTATTTTCCATGCCTTTTCACTTCCTGGCTTCCTCCTGTCCCCACTGCCTCAGATAACAGCAAGAACAGATGAGAATTTCCTAAGGGAAAATATTAAAGGCGTTTCAATTCCTGTTTTAAAAAGGTGATTTTTTCTCCTAGCTCTGCTCTCCGCTCTCCTACGTTATGGGCTGTAATTCTGCCACGTATATAACCACAACCACATGAGGAGCTTGGTGCGGCTCTGCCTTTTTTTTTTGGAGCTTGGTGCGCTCTGCCTGGGCTAAACACAACAAAGACAGGCGCTATAATAAGGACTGAATCCCCACAAAACGAGAGGGGATCTTTTCCGGACAGATCCCAGCAAGCCAGGGCAGGGTGGATTTTGCAGGGTTCATGCTTTACTACTCCTGGGATGCAGAGGACCTGATTTATCCAGAGCTGTCAAACCAACACCTTTTCTTACCATTTTAGGATATATCAATTTTACTCTTTTTTTTTTTTAATATATTTAAAATTTTTTTTAGCGAAAGGGGATTGAACTTACAATGACTATGATAACCAAGTCTGACTTGACCTCAGGGTGTTTTGTGTGTCTCCAAAGACAGCATTTTCTCATGCAGCGTGTGCTGCTACAGCAAGGTGCGGTGGGACACAAAGAAGGCAAGATTTCATCTGTACTCACCGTGCCGTGCTACATTTAACTTAGACCTCCAGTTTATGCTCAATGAATATCACACACATAGCCATGCACTTTGGTTTTTTCCTTCAGGTAGCTTACCTAAACTCAAGTGATCTTAATGAGAATCGGTGTCAGAAAAAACAGCCCCCTTTTGCTTGTTTTTCAAGTGAGGTGCAACTTGAGCAGAAGTAGCCTTAAGGCTAATGAAATCAGCTGTCACTTATCTCCAACCAGCAGAGGCTGACGGGCCCAACTGGAATGTAACTTGAGTTGTGTTTTTATTCTGTAGGTGGGAACAAGGAGGTATATGGCTCCTGAAGTGTTAGAGGGAGCAATCAACTTCCAACGAGACGCCTTCCTGAGAATAGACATGTATGCAATGGGACTGGTGTTGTGGGAGCTAGTCTCCAGATGTAGAGCCGTTGATGGTAAGAATAAAGATTGTCTTTTCCCTGGGGAGGGCTTTGTTTCTGCATGGTTTAGTGGTCCAGAGAATGGTCCTGGCTTTGTTTAAAAAATACAGTAATCAATGGCGTATTTTTATTAAGCAGCTAACCTGTTTTTCACTTGCTTGTTTTTTAACATAAGCTGTCATTCTCTGTAGATAATAAACTTTGTAGTGTTCAAGTCTCAAAGTGCTTTTAGCTACACTGGTTACATTGCAAATTGGCTGAGAACTCAGAAGGAGGAGGAGTAGGTGATTCCTCCATCAGTGCTGGGTGTCCTTTAGTCCTGAGCCTGCCCTGCGTTGCTCTCTGTGGCACTCTGCATTTCTGCCTGTGACCAAGGCACGCTTTGAGCTCCGGAGAAAAGCCGCACTCAGCTCTGGCTTGGCTGTCAACATATCACTTCTGCAAGGCGGTGTGGTAGCCTGAATGGAAAGCCCAGAAGTGAAGCACCTCAGTGAAATAGCAGGAACACGGGGCTGGAAGGATCTTCTTGGGTCATTAAGTCCATTTCCCTGCTATCGTAAGTCATTAGGTATTAATCTTTGAGTTTTGCTCATCAATCCCTCTCTCAGCAGTGGGCTGAGTTTATTGTTCCATCTACAACTTTGGAGGATCCCACTTTCTCCTGAATGATCCAAAAGAATGAACTTTCACGGTTTCTCCTTTGTCAGTTTTTTTAATCCTAAAATGATGCTGCAAAATGGGGTATCTCTTCTGTCCAAATAGCACATCTTCCCTTTGGTGACATGCTTGCCATATGCAGGACCTTGCCCTGGTCAGGGAAGCAATCATTTCATTGTAGTAGCTCCAAGGCTGCTTGCTCCAACTTCTTTCTTCTTGTATAGAATCATAGAATCATAGAATTCTAAGTTTGGGCTGGAAGGGTCCTCCAAAGGTCATCTAGTCCAACCCCCCCTGCAATGAGCAGGGACATCTTGAACTAGATCAGGTTGCTCAGTATAGGGATGGGTGGTCTGGACTGAATATCAAGTTCATAAATTAACAGTACCTCACCTGGACTTCAGATGTGTTCATTAGTATTACAGCAGAACTGAGGGGCTTGATTATAATTAGGATGTCTGCATAGGTGTGTGGTAAGAGAAGGTCTTTTCTTCCAAAATTTGCTATCTTACCAGGTAAAAAGACAGAGGAGCGGGGAGGTAGGAGGCACAGTGGGGTGGAACAGTGGTACCCATATCACTCATGTAGGAATAACCCTCATCTGTTGAGGTCCCCCCAATATCCACTTGGATTTTTGCCTGTTATGTTTGTGATCTCCTTCCAACTCTTCTCAGGCAGCAGTTGGCCAAGATACTCCAGGTGCCATACACAGCACCATTAAGTCAGAGGGAAGGTTTCCTTTGGGATGATGGGGAGTTACACGGAACCTCATCTGCACTTCTAGCTCAGAAGTGATGTTGCGTAAACAGCAGATTTGGTTTGGAGATCACCAGTGCAGCTCTTCATAGCCTTGATTCCTCTTGGAGGAAGAGGAAGGGAAGGCTGTCAGCATTACTGTGCCATCTGTTGGAACAAGTGTTTCAGTTTGGTTTAGCGACTGGCATTTTGTCAACAATACTGAAAAGCTGGTTTAGTGATCTCATTTTTTTTAGAGTACCTAAACATCATGTTGTTGGTGTCACAGTTCATGACCAGCTAAAAGTGGTCAGCTCTTTTATTTTAGCCTGGAAAGGCCCTCTTGAAATATCTCCACTCTTGAAAGAGATCATGCTCTGCTACCGAGAAACTGTAAGTGATGCTGCAGAGCACCCTGAGAAAGCCCATCAGTTAAGCTGGGCTGCCGTTTGTGAGCGGGCATCTATGTATTGCCAAAAGCCAAATGACGTTTCAATAAGCAGAAGTTATTGTTACCAACCGGCAGCTGCACTGATACTCATAACAGTTGTCTCATGCCTGTGGCCCAGGGTGGTTCACAGCCATAACTGGTATAACTAAAGCATTCAGAAATCATTTTGCACTTAGGAGCTCGTACTTGGGACAAGTGCATCTGGCTCCAATGTGTCAGGGCTGACTCAGACCTATGAAGAAGCCAGATCACAAAGCAAGAAATTACAAGTGTTGTTTATGCTTGACCTTCCTAGTCAGTGCCCAAAATGAAATTATGCTCATGCTGAAACCTTTCTCTAGGTTACTGTGTGTTGAATTGCTATGCTAAAATGTGAGGAGGATGGGCTGATTTGCTTTTTCTATTAAAATATATCACGGACTACCTGGCAAGCCTCCTCAAGGAGAGCGGTGGGATCAGGAGGCCCGGCTGAGGGTTCAGATTCGTAACTCGATGAGGTGAAAAATGCGTGGCCAGACAAGCAAAGTCTTGTGGGGGGGACAGCAAAGTCCATTGTGCAGGAGGAGTGTAAATCACATTTGTCTGCAGTGACAGGTGAACTAAAGGCTTTGCTGCAGTGGGTTGAGGTTGCTCTGGAGCCAGAGCTCGCTCATGCATGGGGAGGATGTGGCTCTGCGGAGGACGGTTCTGTACTAACCCAGTTGTCCGTGTGCGCCTTAGGTCCAGTGGATGAATACATGCTGCCTTTCGAAGAAGAAATAGGTCAGCACCCATCCCTTGAGGACCTGCAAGAAGTGGTGGTTCACAAAAAGATGCGCCCTGTGTTCAAGGATCACTGGCTGAAACACCCCGTACGTCCCTCCTGGTTAACGGTGGAAAATGTTTTCCTGTGTGATGGTAACAAGGGATGCGGTTATGCATCACTCATTAGCTTCAGAGGGAAGCTAACCAGTCCACCCTGGTGTGCAGATCTGCTCCCCGGTGCTAGAGAGAGTCAGCACCAGGCGATGAGGGATTTCTCAACACCTTCCTGCTCCCCTTTCCATTTGTCCCTTGTATTTAGAGAGTAAACCAACTGATTAAAGTCGGCCAGTGCTGAACATGGAGCCTGTGGCGGTTTAGTAGGACTCCTTTAATGTGGTGAAAGAACGGAAAATAAAGTCCCTTTCATTAAGAAAAAGAAAACGATCCGTACCATTGGAGATGCATTCCTCACAAGCTAGATAGCATGCAAGACTTGAACAATTTTTTGAGGAAAAATTAATTAGATGTGAAGGCAAGCAGACAATGAAGCAAAATGCAGCATGGGATTCCCAGAGGTAGATCACTTCAGGCTCGTATTTTTAATAAAAGAGGTAATTTTTTTCAGACTGGGAAGCTGAGCAGATGATGAAATCTCACAGGGCTTCAGTAAGAAGCTAAATGCCTCTATTCTGACCAAACTGCTACAGTTTTGGCTAGACTCAGGTGCACTAACTTGTTGCTCAGAAGCCAAGGAGAGCTGCAGGTTGTAGATAAAGAAGAGTATTCCAGTTCAAATGCGGGTTCAAATAAGAGCTGCGCTCTTCCAGCAGCATTGAATTTGGTTATTTTGGGGATATCTACAGAAGTGAGTGCAAACAAAGCAATGGTTTTGTAGTAACTAATACGGTGCTGCCAGCTCTCATGGTTTTATCATGGGAATCATACTACTTGATGTCTTGTCTTTTAAAGCTTTTAACTGCTGAATCTCGGGGTGTATTTTGATATTAAAAAAAGTACTTTTGGGGCTATGAAAAAAAGCTGGATGTGACCAGGCCCTATAGCCTTAGAAAGCAGAAGCTTAAAAAAAACCCAAACCACATATTTAAATTAATTTTTGAAGCTAACCTCATGATAATTTGCATACCATAGAGAAAACAGTCTCAGTTTTTCTTTACAGCGTTAAGCTGTGTTAAGTGGACCTCCCCACCCGCTGCAAGGATGGTCCCCAGAGCAGACCTTGTTGCTGAAGGTGCTTTCTCCCCCTTGTTGTCCGCAGGGTTTGGCGCAGCTCTGCGTGACCATCGAAGAGTGCTGGGACCACGATGCGGAGGCTCGGCTCTCGGCAGGCTGTGTCGAGGAGCGCATTGCGCAGATCCGCAAATCCGTAAATGGCACTACCTCGGACTGCCTTGTCTCCATTGTGACATCCGTCACCAACGTGGACTTGCCGCCCAAAGAGTCTAGTATCTAAGTCCTGGTTCACTTTTGTCTTTCCAGACTCAGTGGATTTAAAAAAAAAGAAAAAAGTTTAAGGAAAAAAAAACCACACAAAAAAAAACAAAAACACAAAAATCCAACAAACACATGAATGCAGCTGCTATTTTATCTTGACTTTTTATTATTATTGTTATTATTATTATTATTATTATTTTTTTGGATTGGATCAATTTTACCAGCACATTGCTCTACTGTATTAAAAAAATGGACATTTCAGCAAGCATTCAGGTGCCGACTAATGAATGCAGAAAAGGTGCAGGTACCTCAGAACCTCAACAAACTCACTTCAGTTGTTTTTATTTTATTCAGTTTCCTGGGTTTCTCTTTATCGGTCTGTCTTCTGAGCGGAGCATCTGTGACATAAAGGAAAACCACCTACCATCTTAGAAAACGCAATGCTGCAAACCGTGGAGGAAACTTAAGACTGTTATATAAAGAATACACCTTCCTCAAAAGGAATTTTTTCCCCATTTTGTTTTGGTTTTGAGTTCAGTTCCTTTTTTTTTTTTTTTTTGGAAGTGAGCTTCAAAAAAAAACAGCAGATGTGTCTTTTACGGATCTAACGGGTGTCATTGTAACATGGAAAAAAAGTAACCGGGCGGAGAATGTTAATTCTTGATGGTAGAATTGAAGGGGGGAGCATAGAATAGGGGTGGGGAGAGTGACGTTGGACTTGGCAGCATTTGGGGAAACATCATTTGCTATGGAGCTACTTCTCAGGTAACCATTAGAGGAGGGGAAGGACATTTCTGGGCAGAGTATTAACGGCTGCAGTGTATGGAGAAAGCTGAGTTAAAGAGCCGCTGTTTGTAAGCAAGGCACTAGTTCTTTCTTAATCCGGTATCTCAAGCTTGGGTGGTAAAAGAGCAAATCAGAACTATAATTACCTTTTATTTTTCGACTCCAGATAGTAAAGGGAAGGATGCTTTT